TTATCATAACTAATTCGTTGTTGGTCTTTATAGCTTTGTTTAAGTTATTGCGTAAAAAAGCCTTGTTGGGTGAGATATAAATGGCATATAATTTAAATTTTTGTTTGGATTTTATTTTCGGCTGCTATTGGTTCTACATATTCATTGATGTTACATTGCGTATGATGAATTGATTTGTGAATTAGTAGGGCTACTCCTCCAAAACTGTTGGATGAAATGTTTGTCAGTATGTTATAATTTATAGGTGTTGGTAAATTGTAGAGCTGTTGTATATGTGTTTCTTGAAGCGATATAATATGTGGAGAGTGTGTTTTGATGATTAGTAGTAGTTGGTTGTAATTATTTACGTAAACCTTTATGTTCCATTACAATATTTTTAGAGACATTAAGGAATTAGAGATTTTTTTGTGATTGCTTTTAGTATATGGGTTATACGAGGTGGATTTTTGATCTTTGGCTTTAAATGTTTTGGATAGGGCGGATTTTTGTGTGTCCATTTCTTTATCATTGATGTCATAAATTATAAGCTGGCAAGTTGTATTTTCCATTTTATTTTTCTCAGAATCTTATAGTGTCTTTTAAAGAGTTTGCGATCCTAGCAATTCTTTTATTCTCCAGTTTTGCGGATATTGCTATTGGTTTAGTAGGGATGTCTAATGGTGTTGTGTTTTTCAGATTCTGTGAATATAACGTTACTTGACTGGGATTGTGACGTACATAATATATGAAAGTGACGCGTGCTAAACGCGCAGTGTTATAAAAGTTATTTAACTCCCTGTAGGGTTCAGTTTACGCACGACCCGAAACAGCTTTATAACTTTGTTAACACTAAACGAAAACCCTATCTACATCCTTCCCCGCTTTCTTTCAAAACTACTTATTCTTCCTCAAATTGCTCAGATCAGGCTTACTCGTTTGATTTGCCCAGGTCGAACATAATTTTCAGTCCTATTTTAAACGAAAGCTCCCTCAGTTTGGATCTTTATCGTGTAAAACCAGTTTATTCGCCGGGTCCCGATGGAATACCAAACTGCGTGCTCAGGTATTGTGCCGGACCTCTGTGCAATCCCCTTTTGACATTGTTTACCTTATTTTTAGAAACCTCAGAATTTCCCCTTATTTGGAAGGAATCATTTATCATTCCTCTCCACAAAAAAGGTAGCAAATCCGACGCCAGCAACTATAGAGGAATCTCTAAGTTGTCGGCAATTCCAAAACTTTTCGAGAATGTAATTACTTCCCACTTGCAGCATTTATGCAGATCCGTAATTTCTCCAAGTCAGCATTGTTTTATGAGGCGAAGATCGAACACTACAAATCTCCTGCAACTCACCTCTTTTGTTATTAGAGGTTTCAACGTAACTTTCAAACACAGACTTTTACACAGACCTCAGTAAAGCTTTTGACTCGGTTAATCACTCTCTTCTTGTAAGGAAGCTTGACTTAATCGGGTTTCCTGTCGATCTTCGTAAATGGATTTTGAGTTATTTGAGTGACAGAACCCAAAACGTTCTGTTTAGAAATGCTCTATCCCTTTCTCAGAGTCACTTCTGGCGTCCCACAAGGTAGCCACCTCGGCCCGCTGCTATTTACATTGTTTATCAATGACCTCCCGCTGGTTCTAACGAACTCTAGAGTACTTATGTACGCTGATGACGTTTAACTATGCTTGCAGTATAAGGACAGCTCTTGCCAGTCAGACCTGCAATCGGATCTTAATAACTTTCAAGCATGGTGTCGTGCTAATTTATTACATCTCAATAGCTCTAAATGCAAGCTGATGACATTTTCACGTGTCACGTGCGCTCTTGAAAGAATATCTCTTGTTGATGATTTAGGCGTTCGCTTAGACCCTAAAATTTCGTTCGCTGAACATATTTCGTGCATGGTTAATAAAGCCAGGGGCATGCTTGGTTTTATTAAGAGGTGGTCGAAGGAATTCGATTCCCCTTACATAACGAAGACCTTTTTTACTTCGTTAGTACGCCCTATATTGGAGTATGGTTCATGCGTCTGGAGTCCCCAATTCGGAGTCCATATTAACCGTATTGAATCTGTACAAAAGAACTTCTTACTTTTCGCCCTCCGTGGCCTACCTTGGGATGCTGATGAGAGGCAACCGTCCTATTCTAGTAGAGTTCTATTAATTAATAACCCTCTCTAGCTAACCGTAGAACGATGCTTGGTGTCGTATTTCTTAACAACTTAATAAATGGTGATGTTGAGAGCCCCTATCCTTAGGGCTGCTCAATTTCCATGTTCCTCGACTAACATCCAGAACCCTTATCCCATTAGTAGTAAATCACTGTAGTCGGGAGTTTGCAGCACATGAACCCTTTAGGATTTTTTGTGCGGATTACAACCGCCTGTCTGATATTATTATTCGTAGTGACAGCCCTTCTGTACTGAAAACTTTAATACTTGTTGAGTTAGCTTGTAGTGTAGCACCGTAGTTTAATTTTGCATGCGTTTTTATTTATTTATCTTAGTTATTATTTAGTTACATTATATTATACTTTTTTATATTTATTGTGCATGCGTTTTTATTTATTTATATATTTATATTATATTTTTTTTTTCTTATTAAATTTGTTTGTTCTCTCCTAATGTTTCCTCGTTCATTTCTTCTTTCATTCTAACGCGTCTATCTAGTTCGCGATTCGTGCCGGACGTCACATGAATGCGCCCCTCGGTCGGTTGGGCGGGAGGTAGAAGCGGGACACCGCGCGAAAAAAAAAAAAAAAAAATTACCTTTTCGGGAAGAAAATGTAAAAGTTAATGTTATCCGACCTGTTGGGATTCGTCTTTGATCAACCCATTTCATCCATTTGTTAACTTTCTTAACTTTTTGGGATTTCAGCTCTGCCAAAATGTCGTCTTCTGATATATTTCAAAATAAATTACACCCTTTGTCTCGTTGAGGCTCTTGTGTTCACTTGCTTCTACGTCTATTCTTTTGCCTTTTCTTTTAAGAATTATATATTTGTGTTCATCTGAGTTTGAATTCTTAAAAAATAATTTATTTTTGTCTGGTGGTATCATTTTGGTTTAACAGAGTTGTTGCGAGGCTGGCGAAAGTTGCGCGGCCCTGCGCTAGATGCCCAATTTGAATAGTCGGTAATTTTGAATTTTTTAGACATTATGCAACAATGAATTTGTACTGACCAACACCGATATTGTATTGACAAAGCGTCATTTGTGAATTGAAGAGCGGCAAACCACAAGTGTAAGCGGAGAAAAATGTTAAATATCTTTATTTATAACAAGTTTAATAAAGATTTCAGCACTATCTGTAATACAGAGAACTGCAAGAGTGGCATTTTTTAGCACTCTACTCACACCCAACTAAATTCGGGTGCCGGTGCCACTCACCACCGAGCATCAAAGTAATAGACAACACCCACAAAAAAACATCCGGGTGTTGCAAGTACTCTGTGAGTTGAGCACCCGATCATTACGGTACTTTTCGTCAGCGGGTGCCGATCACACTCGCACTCAAAAAGGGCATCAGAAAAACAACTATGCAAAAAGAGTGGCAAGAAAAAAACACATTTATGACCTGGGTGTCGGGACGACACACATGAAGAAAACAACTAAGCCAAAAGAGTTGCAAGAAAGAAACGCATTTATGACTTGGGTGTCTTGAAAACACCCGTGTGTTTGGTACGACACCCGGGTATTTGTGACATGATCGCATCGCCTTCTTTGTTTTGAACACTTGTTAGCGATCGGATTCATTCTAGTTTGGATGTCTGTAGACAGACTCCTTTTCTGCATTATTTTTATAAAAATTGTATAGGAACGAATTAATTATCCATTTTTATGTAATTTTTATTATTATTATTTTATTTTTAAATTTTTTTTTATACTTTTTATAACTTTTAATTTAAAAAAAAATAAAAAACCACAACCCAAAATAGGCAACGAAATATAATATATGTTATAATAGGTATACATTAAAAAAAATGTAGACTTTAAAAACAGACTTAAAAAAAGGTTGCAGGAACTTAAAAATTTGCCAAGCAAAAATGAAGTTCTCTTATATTGTAAATTATATTCTAAAATATTTAATGTACGTTTTATATATACTTGTTATTATTATATCAGTAAGGCCATTAAAAATTAAAAAAAAAAAACGAAATTGTGAAAAAAATGCACGCTCACGAAATCGGGCGGGCGCAGGTAATTTTTTGTATGTATACATTTTTTATGGGTGTCCGAAAGACAACCTAAAAAAAGAAGAGTGAAACTGATCACCCATTTTCACCCTTCCTTTTTTAGCTTGCCTTTTCAGACACCCATAACAAATGTATGGATACAAAAAATGACCTGCGCCCAATTCATGCTTGTGTGTGGGATCACCCGAAGCATTTTTTTGAATCACTCACTCGCACGCTTTCGGCAGTAACAAAAAACCACCGGGTGCCAAATACACCCGGGTGTTTCTTATTGCAGCAAATAGGGTGCCTTAAACACCCGGGTGTCTGAGACACCCGGTGTTTGGCCGGTGCACTTGTAGTTCCGGTGGCTTGCTGCAGTTCTCTGATCTGTATACTGCAACCAGAGGCTTGTTGTACGTGGTAAAACCCAGGATCCAGAGGCGTCCCAACCAGAGTGCACTCCTGCTTGTTGTTGCTTTTTGTAGTGTTATGTATTTGCTGTGTCACTCGATTTTTTATTTGGCTTATATCGCAAAGTTTGTTGAACTTGTAGATAATATTTAATAACCTTTTTATCACGGATGTATACACAATGGTCTAGAGTCAAACTGGTTTTATTTAAATATATTACTTTATTTAGTTTTTACTTATATTTATTTAATTTAATTAAAGGCTTTTTAAAACGCGGTCAGCTGCGCTGAAGTAGAAAATCCCTATATATTTAAATAATTTACATGTTTGTATAATAAAATAATGCGCTGTGTAATATATAAGGAATTGATCAATTGGATTGCATTCAGCTTAAGTTAGGGCATTAATACTATAATTTGTATTACTCACCTATGCTCGTCATGGGACCAAAAACTGTTTCGTCGTTAGTGACACTGCAGTTCCACCGGCGATTTTTAAATTGAAATTGACACTCCTAAAAAGTAAATATAAAATGTTTATTGTTTATACAACATATTCCTTTCCCAACAAATGTAATAAACAAGAGTTTATTTTGATATCGGGTAGCCGTATACTATAACGGCTGTTAGTAAAATTTAAAGAGGATCCAAAAAACATGGTATGGAAGTTTCAACGCAGTAAAGGAGACAACAAAGTATATATAATCTTATTCAGCATCAACAGCCGAGTCGAGACCGAGGAATAGCTGCCGTAGGAACGATTTGTAGATGTAGAGAAATGTGTAAAGCTGTGAATCTAAAACTGTAACTGAAAAGCTGTGAATATGTGTACGGTTTTTTTTTTTTTTTTTTTTTTTTTTATATAAGTTCAAATTTAATTATACGTTAATCAACCAAATCAATGATTATAAAACGTAGGGACTAACACTAACAACAAACATAACATGGAAACATAACAGTAAACGGTAAACAACAATTTATAATTTACAAAGGCATTTCAGTTATTGGTGTAGGACTCGGGTTCTTTGCCTCCCTCTTAACCAAAGGTCACCTGGATGTCGTCTCTTCAGTCTTCGTCTGGACATGGGGATGGCCAATGATGCCGCTAGGTGGTTGGTGTGGGCCAGAAGCCGTTCATTGTACCGACTTGAGTGCCTGTTGATCTGCTCCCTCACTGGTAGCATTTTGAGGTCGTTAGCGATGTCTGCATTCCTAGCAAACCAGGGTGCATTTGTGATTGTGCGCAGCGCCCGGTTTTGGACCCTTTGCACTTTCATAACGTTAGAGTCGGACGCAGTACCCCATATCTGGATGCAATAGGTCATAGCAGGAACAACTATTGCTTTGTATATCAGCACTTTGTTGCTGAGGCTCAGCTTGCTGGTGGACTTTAGCATCCAGTTTAGCTTTCTGAGTTTTCCACGGCATGCTGCTGCTATTTTGGTGGTGTGTTGCCTCCACGTGAGCCGCTTATCCAAGATCAATCCCAGGTATTGGGCCTGAGGAGATTGAGGAATTAGCGTGTCCTGAAATTTGACCCTAGGGAGGATTTTGTGTCTCAGGGAAAAATTGCAGTGTTGCGATTTATTTCCATTTATGGATATGTTCCACCTCTTCGTCCACTCGCTATATGTATCCAAAAAGCTTTGCGTTTTTCTAGAAGCCTCGATTCGACACGCTGAGTTTGCGATAAAGGCTGTGTCATCAGCATACGTTGCAAGAAGTGTCCCCGGTTCTCTGGGATTGGGCAAGTCAGAGGTGTAAAGGGTGTATAACACAGGACCCAAAACACTCCCTTGCGGTACTCCAGCTCGACTGCTTCTAATGGATGATCTTTCACCTCTCACATCAACCATGAATTTTCGCTCCAGCAGGTACGATTTCAGAAGGAGATATTGAGCAGTTGGTAGGAGTGTTTTTAGCTTAAAAAGCAATCCATTGTGCCACACTCTATCGAAGGCTTCCTTTACGTCAAGGAAGATAGCAGAGCTGTACTGACCGTTTTCAAAAGCATCTAAGATATGCTGCGTTACTCTATGAGCCTGTTCTGGCGTTCCATGGTGATTCCGGAAGCCAAACTGGTGATCTGGAATGGCATCCTGAACACTTCTTACTGCCATCATTCTGCTAAGAAATATTCTCTCGAATATTTTAGAGAATGTTGGCAGCAAGCTTATTGGCCGGTAAGACGCAACAAGGTTCTCCGGTTTGCCTGGCTTAGGTATCATCGATATCACTGCGCACTTCCATTGTGTGGGGAAGTGGTAAATACGTAACATGGAGTTGAACAGGAGCACAAGGAATAATATGCCCTTTTTGGGCAGAGCTTTGGCAACTCTATTATCGATTCCGTCAAATCCTGGTGCTTTACTAACGTGCAGTTTTTTAATTTGGAGACAAACTTCTTCCGGACTTACATGACGAATGGGCTCTACATCTGGGCAGGAAGTATTAAGAAATGCCAGTGTTGCTTCCACGTCCTCACTCCTAGCAAGATCAAACGGCTGAAATCGACCTTCTAGTTCGTCAGCAAAAGCCAGAGAAATATCTGCATCCGATCTGCACCAAGTGTTGTCAGCACGCTTTATAGGGATTCTGCGTGGGGGCTGCCGTTTAACTGACTTTGCTGCTTTCCAGATGTTAAATCCATACGGTTTTGTGGGGTCTGCATTGCGTAGTAGATCTGAGAAATAATCATTTTTCGTCTTATGCAGCAACTTCTTTAGATCGTTCTCAGCGCGACGATATGCTCTTTTGTCGGCCGGATTTTGCGACCGCATGAATCTGCGAAGCAAGGCTCTTTTCGACCTCACCAAATCCAGGACCTCAGGTTTTAAAAGAGCATGAGGTGGATCTGATGGGTTTATTGCGCCTTGTCCACTGGTTGAAGATTCGGCAGCAATGTGAATGTTTCGCACAAAGACCTCAGTGGCATCATCAATGTCTTCAGGGGATCTCAGGACCATGTTGAGGTTTACTAGCTGGTTAATTGCTGCCTGAAACCGTGGAATATTTGCGTTTCGAGGGAGAATATGTGTTTTTTGGGAGACCTTGAAAGCAGCACTTCTTAGCTCAATTAACAATGGGATGTGATCAGAACAAAGTTCCAAGCTCCCTGAGATGGATAGGAGCTCAGAGCGAATCCCCCATATATGGCAAAATCAATTGCAGTTGGCGTACGCTGGCTGTACGGGTAGTGGGTAGGACCTCCGGTTGCAAGGACTTGAATGTGAGAGCTGAGGATATAGTTTGCCAATACTCTTCCACTGACAGAGGAATTTCGACAACCCCAAAGTCGATGGTGTGCATTCCAATCACCGGCAATTAGAAATTTGGGTCCTAGTTCCTCAAACAGTGTTCTAATGTCATCATAGGAGCGCTGGAAGTTTGGAGGACAATAAATAGAGGCAATAGCAATTTCACCTTGATCCGTATTGACTTTGACTGCGACACATTGAGCACTTTGATGTTCCATTGTTAAAAATTGGTAGTGTTTGAGACAGGACTTTATGATGACTGCAGAGCCCCCACGGTGGCGATCGGCGGGATGGTTAGATAGGTGAACGTCATATCCGTGTAGTTTGTAGTATGAACGAGAGCAGAAGTGTGTTTCGCTGACCAACATAATATCTATGTGATGTTTATGAACAAAAAGCTCTAGCTCCAGTGCTTTGTTGGCCAGCCCGTCGGCGTTCCACACACCAATTTTGAGTCCAATTTGACTCATGGTTGGATTGGATAAACTGGGAGACGTCCAGAACTTGGTTGAGTAGATCCTGGCGCGTTTTGTGATAAAAGGCTAGTGACGAGAGTCATCATTGACATCATCATCTGGAACATCTTTTCTAGTTGTGTTACGAGAACTGACATTTTTTCATCAGATCGCATGAACATTTCTTCTTGCCGCTGCCATTGCTGATTATTCTGGATATTACGCAGTTGCTGGGATAGATTTTGCTGTTGCGGTTGTTGCTGTTGCTGGGTTCCTGGATGTTGCTCTGGCCTTGGGATTGTGTCCAGCATTGGTTGTTGGGGTTGCCGGTTGTTTTCCCTACGTTGACTTTGTTGGTTCTGCTTCCGGTACCTACTTCCTAGTGGTGGGAATTGTTGCAGCTGCTGTTGGCTTGTAAATTGCTGAGGGCTAGCCTGTTGTGTTTGGCGAGATCCCCCCGGCGACGTACCCGTAAGATAGCGAGGGCTCAATGCCTCTTCGTGCAGTTGGAGCCGTAACTTGTTGTTGTTGATGGGGGCTACGATGGGATGTAGCAGTTTTGCGTCGACTTACTGTCTGCTGGTATACGATACAGCCCTTATAGCTTGCAGTATGATTACCGCCGCAGTTGTAGCATTTAACTGGATGTACATCTCGTTGGCAGTCTTCAATGGAGTGTTGCTGACCACATCTTACACAGTTAACTTCCTTATGACAGTTATTTTTTGTGTGATTGTAAGATTGGCACCGATAGCATTGCACGACAACGTCCTTTTTGAAAGGAAGCTCAACTTGTATCCGTTGACGACAAAGCGTTTTAAGCTCATGTATTTCTTTGTTGTTGACGGCTGGTTCTAATTCAACAAAGACAAGGTTGACGAGCTTTGTTTTATCGAACCGGCTTCTGGGTCTATTGATGAAGCGGATAGTATGGCCAAGTGAAGTAAGGCTTTCCTTAATATCTTCATCCGGAATGGAGTGATGCACACCTCGGATGACAATGCGGTAAGACCTTTCCTCTTTAAGTTGCCAGGTATGAAATGGCACCTTTTTTGAGGTAAGCGATTTAGTAATGGCTCTGTACGCATCTGAATCTGAAGCCAAGATCGAAACGGAATTATCTGGGTGGCATTTAATGGAATATTTGGTTGGGTGAACGACCTTATCTGTGGATCTGATAAGTCCGTTTAAGTTTTCACAATTTTTGACCACAATTGGTGGTGGTTTGTGAGACGGTGAGGTTTCGTTGTTGTCTGAGGGCTGGTTTGGACTACCATTGCAGCTAGTCGTATTGCTATTATTGCTGCTACAGGTGTTGCCGCTGTTGCTTAAATTGTTGGTTAGAGTGTTGCTGACTTGGTTGCTGGCGTTGGTGGTGTTGCTGGTGTTGGTCGTGTTGCTGGTGTTGGTGGTGTTGCTGGTGTTGCTGGTGCTGATACTGGCTTGGTTGGATCTATTTTGACCGACTGTTTGTGGTGATTTCATAATTTCATCGTCCGTGTCCATATCTGACAGATCCGAGAACCGATTGTCAGATGCTGCTGGTTTTGGGCTATTTGAATTCCTAATAATTTTCGAGCTTGAGTTGTAAGGGCTTGATCTTAAACGGCGTTTATTATTGGGACGTGGGGTCCACCAATCGTCGTCATCAGCCATAGCATCTTGCTCAGAGTCTTGAGTTGCTACTGGCCGAGCATTATTAGAGGTCGAGGCATAAATGGCGTTAAATTGGTTTATCGAGGAATTTAACGCCTCTCTCATTTTTTTCTGGGCCTCAGCCGCAATCTTTTCGATGTCAAGATC